TATATTTTGATACATATATTCCGCCCTCTACTTATAAACAACTTAAATAAAAATTTAAATATAATTATTATAAAAATTTCTCTCTTTTCTAATAAGCAACATTTTGAAAACTATTTAAAGTTTGTTTTTTTTTTTGGTAATTCCTGATTGTTAAAAATGTATAAACTTTTCCCATTATTGCGCACCATTGACACCAAAATAAGTTACAATATTACCCGTTTCACTTCTTTCTCACATTAAAAATTGAAATAGTGCAATTATAAATTTTCTGAATAAGATTGTTAAACTTTCCTGATAGCAAGGCAGATAAAAATTACATTACTATTAAAAAGAGAAACTAAAATTATTGTGTTTAACCTTAACATTGTTTTTAAAATTACTGGCACATCGTAATTATTTAAAATGCTTGTAGCTATGTACTACGTGATGTTTTTTTAAATGCAACCTATAAAATGCATATTTTATGAGGAATCTTATCAATATTAGTAATTTCATTAATTTTTGTTTCAAAAATAATACGCTTAAGGAACAAAATGATTTAAGATTTATAATAATGATAATAATTTTTATTTACTGAGAAACAATACAATATAAGAACGTAATTAAAAAAATATAATACAATAAATAAACAGGTTAAAGCACATAGTAGAAATTCCGCATATACGAAGTGTTGTGAAATTTAAGCATTCAATCCAGTAGATATTTTATACACTATGTCCCAAACTGGTGCTGCATGTATTGCTATCTCGGTTATTGCTATCTCGGTTATAGGGGGCGTCCATTAATTACGTGAGGTGTTCAAGGGGGGGGGATAAAACTAAATCTTTCTAAATCTCACTTGGGGGGAGGGGGGGGGTTTCGTAAATCTCACGTAATTTTTTTTCTAGTAGAAAACGGTGTAAAATTGCGTGAAAGTAAAGTTAAATTATAGTAAAAGTATTTCTAGAATAAAATATGGAAAAATCTTATAATTATGTTTATTTATTTTTTATTAATTTCCATTTAAGTATTTATCATTTAATTTTATTAATGTGATTTTAAATAATTGCAACACTCTCAAACACTAGTCTTTGCTGGTCTTAAATAAAAGTAATGGAACATATTGTGTTTTTGTTTTTTTTTAATAATCCAACACATTTACACCCAAAACACGAATTTTGAAAAATCTCACGTGAGATTAGGGAAGGCGGGGGAGGGAGTTAAGGAAAATCTTACCAAATCTCGCCAGGGGGGGAGGGGGAGTCAAAAAATCCTCAAAAATACCTCACGTAATTAATGGACGCCCCCTAAGAGCTACAAAATCGGTTAAATGGGCAATTATACTATCAACGTTTTCCGAATAAAATAATTTCCTCAGTTAGAACGTTTTCCAATTTAGAAAGAAGTCTTAGACAAGGACATTTTCCTGACGGTAAACATCATGGAGGATACAACAGAATGATCAGAAATAAAGAAAATTTTATATACGTTTTGGCTTACGTTCATGTAAATCCACATGTTTCTATCACAGATTTGGCACTCGAATACTCGAAATTGGAATAAGCAGAAGTAGCATCCAAAGAATATTAAAAGACAATAAATATTATCCTTATAAAATACACTTGGTCCAAGGTTTATACCTTAATGATCTTGAAAAATGCTTAGACTTTGACGCTAGAAACTAAATGACGATGCCACTATAGAGCGTCGAATCACATTTCCATAATAATAGTGTATTAAATCGCCATAATTCCAATTACTGGTCCCCAACAAATTCCCACTGGGTAAGAGAAACAAGGTTTTAAAATATTTGGGGCATAAACGTATGGTGTGGTTTGTTCAATGGTAGGATTATAGGTCCTCATTTTTATGAAAAGACTCTAACGGGAATAGAATATCGTGATTTTTTAATCAATAACGTTCTTGATTTGTTGGAAGGTGTTCCTCTTAATCAAAGACGTGATATAGGGTGGCAGCAAGATGGTGCACCAGCTCATTATGTACAAATTGTGAGTCAATATTTGGCAAACACTTATGGAAACCGTGTTATATCCACGCATTCTCCAATTAGCCAGTGGCCGGCTAGGTCACCTGATTTGTCGCCTCTAGATTTTTTTCTGGGGTACTATAAAGGACGTAGTATACGAAACAAAACCAGAGGACTTAGAAGATTTAAAAAATAGAATTAGACATGCTTGTAACAGATTCACACCGGCCATGAGTCGAGCTGCCTGTACTAGAAAGTTATTACTACTCTTTGTTTGTTGATATTTATTTCTTGTCTTCTCCTTCTCTTGTTTCAATGTATTTTTTAATTATGTGTCACCTAATAAAGTATTTTTTATCATCAACTTGACACAGATTTATTTAATTTCTCACTTATTTATGGAGCGATTTTAAAATTTTAAAAACAGTTTTACAGAGAAAAGTAGCGACTACAAAAATGAGTAGAAAAAAATAAGGGTGTCGTTAATAATTTTTGAGGAAGTTGTTCCAGGGGGGTAGTTTTTGAGGGTGGGTCGTCAAATTTTTATTTGTTTCAAAGTACACCGCCAATTATAATGAATGACTTTTGTTCGGTTCGATTATCTTGCATGGTTTAGAAGTTATAGTTTGCGTAATATAGTTTGGGGCACCATGTATGTCATTGGTAAAAACTTCATAGTTTCTTATTTTAATCTCAAAATGTCAATAAGTGACAGTTACAAAATTAGAGAATGTCTGTTGCTCACCTACTAATAAGACGTTTATGATAGCAATAAAACAAATTTCTACTGCTTTTATTTGGCCATAAAACACCTAGTATTCATACAAAGCTTGATCTTTTAAAATGCTGAATTATGGAGACTAAATAAAAAAATATATTTTATTGCAAATTGAAAACATGATAAATTTTAAAATAAATTGTCTAATTTTACGAAATACATTTTTTTTGGATGTATTTTTTAGATGACACCTAAACGTGAACGCTTGTGTTGTGTCAAAATTATATAATTAGAGTTTTGGGCTGACAGAATCTAGAAAAAAAAACACAACAATAAAAAACAAAAAAGCAAATGAAATAATTATGCAGTTTGATGATTAAATATAGCTACGCAAAAACAAAATATACAATAATTAATATAAAATAAAAATATTTTAACAATAACACTATGGAAACACTAACATTATTAAAGTATTAATCATTATGCAGAATTACAATAATAGTACTAATTTACTATGATTTTCAGAGACGTATTTTTTAATTTTCCTTTTAAATTATTTAAAGGGTAATGTTTTAAATGAGTCAGAAATGGTGTTGTATATTTTTATCCCGTTGTACAATATAATTTTTTGACATACTGATTTATTTACGCGTTTATAAGAATATAGCCGTGATTTATTTTGTCTAGTTTCATAAGTATGACGCACTTTATTTAAATTACTATCTTGATGAATATAATATATTGGAACAGAAGAACTAATTATGGAAAAAATGAAAGATATGACAATGGAAATGTGTATAATATAGGAATAGAGAATCAATTTTTGGTAGTACCAAATTTGGAGGTGGATTTAGTAATTGGGACAGATATTTTATGTAAGCAAATTGAGAGTAGAGATGAGTGGAGAGATTTTTGAGTTTAGAAGTAAAAGAGCAGAATATAAGATGAGAAGAAGTATAATATGGAAACGTGGAAAAGTAATAAAGAGAAGGTGTTAATTGAGTTATTGATGAAGGATGAAAAGTGGAGGTGGACAGAAGAAAGAAAGAATGTATTTGTTGGTTTAAAAAAGGAATTTTGTAAAAAATTAATGGTTTATCATCCGGATTACAATGAGCGGTTTGTGTTGAGAACAGATGCTTTAAAATACAGGTAGACACGAGCAGCACACACAGGTAGAGACTAGCAGATAGGTATAGACTAACAGATAGGTAGAGACGAGCAGATATGCAGAGACAAGCGGACAGGTAGAGGTAATAGAGACAAGTGGAAACAAGAAGCTAACGGGAAGAGAAGACTGAAGAATTTAAAAATTTATTTTTTGTTTATTATTAAATTTGGTAAATAATATTGATTTGTAAAATTTTTAGAGCCGAACCACCCCTTTTGAGAGTCTGTGCAAATTTATACAAAAATTGATATACAGGGGGTTTCTATATCAATATATACCTTTAATATCTAGCAAAGATTCGAAAATAAAAATGGGTTTGTTACTTTGGATGTTTGATAACTTAAATATTATTCGGATGACATAATAACATAATAACAGTTTAGCGTGACTTGTAATTTTTCTAGCGTGGTCATATAAGCTGCTTCCCATACACAGATGCTATACCTAAGTATAGATTCAACTAAGCTGTTATAAACAATCAATATAACTTTTTTGCTTAGTAGATTTCTTAATGAATAAAATTTATTAGTTTTTTTTAGATGTTTAGTTGTGTACTCAATGTGTGTTGACCATTTAAGATGCTTGTCGATATAGATACCAGGTATTTGATTGAATCAGTTTGCTTTATTTCTTCATGAACTCCATTGATTTTAATTGAAGATAGATTTTTATTAAGTCCTGTAAGTATTGGTGAAAAAGCAATAAATTTTGTTTTCGAGATGGCTAAACTTAGACAATTTGCAACCAACCAATTTTTGACATCATTTAGTGCTTGTTGTGAATTTTCCCAAGCCTCATCCCATGTATTGCCTGTACAATTTAAGACCGTATCATCAGCATAAGAAATGAGGCTACATTCTTTATAAGAGAGTTAATTGTATAAAATTAAAAATAAAGTAGGTCCAACGGTAGTGCCTTGTGGAACACCTGTTATAACTTTTGTCTTAAGATTTTGTTAATAATAAGCGATTGTTCTTTTTGAATCGCCCTGGTACTATTAATTTTGTTAAATTTATTTTCAATTAATTCATGAAATATTGTATATCTCATTTCGTTTTTTTTTTTAATATATGTTTAAACTCCTCCCAGATGTGCAATTTTACAAACAAATTATCAATTTGACCTAATTTTTTACTTAGACTTACCTTGACAGCTTTTCTCGCATCTAACTTTATCGAAATTGTGTCCATTTGGATCACAAATCGGGGCACAAGATTCACAAATCAACCCATACTCCGAGCAGTACTGATCAGCACTGCAATTTTTGACACCGCATTTGACAACCGAACCCACAATCAACCCATCACTTCGCACTAGAGTACTACCGAGAAAAATGAAAACCAAATAAATCCACAACATATTATTTTATTGTGATGTAAAAAATGTGATGTTTTTGGATAAAAATTTGCACTTTGTTCGTTCACATAATTAATATTGTATCAAATAGGTGGTACCCTACGCAACAGGTGCAGACTGGGTATCTCTTTTCTACTGACTATCTGACTTCGCTACGTTCTACCTGGATGAGTCATTGTACTGGAAAATATGCGACTGGGTACCGTAATTGCTGTGGCGGTACAGGTGAGTTTCGCTTGATGATCGCGTAAGGTATTTCAGTAGAGGGGTACCTACTGTTATACAAGTTATGGTCAATTGCACTGAGTTCTGAAGAATAAGTCATTCTGTGATTTAGTGTGGATTCTGATTTATTATTATAAGTATGGACTGTGAATGTCGAATAATAATAATAATAAGTAACTTTATTTATCAAAGATAATATCATACAATAATTCAAAATAAACCAACAATTCAATATAAACATGAACTTCATAATTAATTCAAAATCAAAATAAACATAAAACTTAACATAATTGTCCCTCATACATAATATAATAAAAAAAGAGAAAAACAAAAGAATAAAAGAAACAGTGATGTAGGTATTTAACATAACAGATTGGTTAACAGTATAACAACCCATACAGCACACATTCTTTTAGAAATATTTCAGAAATATTCCAAACGTTTCAAACATAACATTTGAAGCACAAGTTTCTAAAATATTTCAGTTAAATATTTCACTGAATATGTCTCTGACACAAGTTATAAATGTTACACAGGAAGATACAAAACGGTTTATGTTGTGAAAGGACAATGCTTAATGAAGAATTTCTCATTTGCAAGAAGAGGAAGAAGGAAAAGAAGAAGAAGAAGAAGAAGAATATGGGTTATGTAGTCATTTTATATATTAAATAGTGGTCGTTATTAGTTTCAGCACAGTTTTAAGTGTGTTGTGGGTTTTACACCTTTTTGTAATACCTTTTTTTGTTGTTTGTGCATTGACCGTGTTGTACCATTTTCTAGAAATGCCTTTAGAAGTTGAGATAAGTTTCTTAAGAGAAATAAAGCTTGTAATAAGTAGAGTTTATATGAATTTCCTCCCTTTTAATTATTAATTTATATCAGTCACTGGGACCGAGACGGGACGACGCCATTTTTTCATCAAATTTGCTGGCGATTTATGTATCATTTTTATCTAAATATAACTTGCATTTGATTATATTTTTACAAGTTAGTGTTATATTGTTGATTGGGGTGAAAATAACTATTTACAAAAACGTTTTGAATTATTTGATAATAGTGATTGAGTGATTGAAATAATATGGATAAACAGCACTGCCAAAAAGGCTATAGTAAAAGACATGAAAGGCATATAATTACTAAAGAAATTGCGACAGAATTGCAGAAAATTTGTAATTTTGAAGCAGATTGCTGTTCAGATAATTATAATAAGGTTTGTGAAAAAATTCAGAAAAGGGAAGTATTTAACAGTAAATTACAGAAAGTAAAGGAAACAAACCTACCTGCAACAGTATTCTCCTGATGTCCCAGAAATGAATAATTTGGCTTCTGATAGTGACTCATATAGTGATTTTAGTGATTTTTGTAATTTGAATATTGATGACTCCATAAATGAAAACCAAGATCAAAATATTTTACATAACACTAAACCTCTGTTAAATATCCAAGATGATTTGAGACAATGGGCTGTAACATTTAATATAAATCAAAATGCTCTTTCTGCACTTTTATTATTGTTAAAAAACCACACTAATTTTAACTTACCAAAAGATAGCCGGACTCTGCTGAAAACTACAAGGAAAACTAATATTACACAAATGCGTGGAGGACATTATTGCCATTTTGGGTTAGAAGCTGCATTGACAGCAGTGATAGTAGATAGACGTCATAACAATTTGGACATTACACAACTGGAGTTTTTAGTTAATATGGATGGTTTACCACTTGCTAAATCATCAACTTCTTCTTTCTGGCCCATTTTATGTTCCGATGTAATGGGACAAAAAGTTTTTTTGTCTGAGTATATTTTGATCTTCAAAAACCAGAAGATTCAAATAAATATTTAAAACCTTTTGTTAAAGAAGTTACCAATTTTGTAAATAATGGTTTTACAGGAGACCAAAAAATTAAAATAAGAATAGCTGCGTTAATTTATGATACTCCTGAAAAGGCATTTGTTTTGTCAGTAAAAAGCCATAGTGGGTACAATAGTTGCACAAAATGTTTAATTGAAGGTGACTATATAGAGAAACGAGTATGCTTCCCTTTTACAAGTAACCCTTCCATCTGCGGAAAGAACGGACAGTGGATTCTAAAAAAATATCTATAAAGATTACCATACCAGAAAAACAATTTTAACAACAATCCCTAATTTTGTATTAGTTTCTCAAGTGTTACTTGAATATATGCATTTAATTTATTTGGAAGTCATGAAAAAGATGTTACTATTGTGGATAAGTGGAAAACCCCTTTCAGTTAGACTACCAAACAAGGATGTGAAGAGGATTTAGATTTAGACAATTTAACAGAGACAACTCCAAAATAATTTTTTGTAACAACTATTCAAAAGATAAACTGAAATAGAAACTAAAGTTCTCGACATTGAATTGAACAGCAAGAAATTCTGCCGTTTGGAACACAACAAAGGATCTATTAATAATTATAATGGTCCCTTTAAACAATACATGATATGTTCGTATGAAAATTTTTATATACAATGTAATGATCTGCGTAATAACTGTTTTCTGTTACAAAATGATAGAGTAATTATTGTTCAAAATAATGTTGTTGATGCACAATTTAATATTAATTCGAGAAACGCTAAAATGGTGGTTCCCACCTTATTGAGACTGAGGCCCGCAAAGGTAAACTCGTAGCGTTACAAAAACGAGAAATGATTTAACTTGGAACGAAAGACCGAAAGCCGATAGTAGTATTAGGACGTTGAATTTTTTGGTTTGTAAAGCATTGGCATTACTTAGGTTAAACCACGTGATGATTTTCACAAGCCTTGATTTTTAAAACCATTCTATATCGCCTTTTGATTAGGGTTTAAAAACTTGTTCAAGCAATTTATCCAATAATAATTGGCTCCTTGCTCCTTTACCTCTTAAGCCTGCCCATGTAAAATATTGGGGCTCCTTACTTCGCCTATTTATATTCTATTAATTAAGGACAGAAGGATGAGTATTGCAACTATGTTAGAAGAAATAAATTTGTTTTCAGTTTAGAATTATGTTCAGTAGATGACTGATATTTATTTATAAAATTAAAAGGACAGTACCATCGCATCAGATCTATTAGAAAAAAATCAATATAATTCGCAATATCACAACTATAATACAAGAAGCCAATCTGACTTTCATGTACAGCAAGCCATCACTAAAAGTTCCCAAAATACAATTTTTATTAAAGGTTTAAAAAATTTAATAGACTGCCTACAGAAATTAAAAAAAAAAAAACTACAATAAATGTATTCAAAAATAACTTCAAACAATACTTGACAAATAAACAGAACGGTTATACTTTCTTGTGATAATACTCCTTAAACCTGCCCTTTTTAAGTATTTCCCTTAATTTATTGTTATTTTACCCCTCGTTTTACCCGCATTTATTATAAATTATATGTTTTGAGATGATGTACTTTATTTTAAAAAATTACTTGATATTATAATAATACTACTTATTATGTTTAAATTATTAATAGCTATAGCAAATTATAGCCACAAAACTATTTTTGTGTAGATCGGTTACTAAAGGCTGGACCAACAGTCTAAGCAGGAAGAGGTGATCTATAGTACGGGTTACTTCCTCTACTGGAACCGCTAAGCGAAGCACTGACGATAGTGTCCAAACTAAATAATAACTACTTAATACAACAAGAGCGGCACGAGAAGCTCTGCAGAAGGAATACAAACAAGAAGGCCTAAAATAGAGGGAATATTCTACATATAAACTAAAGCATGGTTGGTATGGACTTACCGTAGATTTTAGGTGGCCTTTGGAAGAAAAGTATTATTTCCAGAAAAACGTGCTGCCAATAATGACAAATATACTTTAAAGGTAAACTTTCTCTTGTTTTTTATTAGCTAAATAATCCGAATAAAATTCGTTAATTTTTGGGTAGGTACCACATGGACCAAGGAAATCTAATTGAAAAAGGACAGAAGAGGAAGGAAGTTCTTCAGTCAGAATGACAATCTAGGGTTGTCAACAAATTACCATATTTTAGGATCAGATGAACTTGGCCTTGAACTTAAATTTGAATAAATGAAAGTGAACAATTGTAATTAGATTCATAAAAGAGAAGGTCAAGGTTGACAATTTATGTCAAACTGTTTGTTTACATTCTGGTACAGGTTATAGAAAATAAAATACATAATTTGAACAATCTTGTGTTTTATTTTATCGACAGGTAAGCTTAATATTAAATTTATCTTTTATATAAATATTACAACGAAAAAATGCGAACCGTAACAATTCTGCTATTTCAGCCGTGCTTTTGACTGTATTAATCATTGTCGAATTTGCCCAAATATTTCGAAAATAAGGCTTTATAATAAGAAAAATACAATAAATTCATCTTGACTATAATTTTCCAATTAAAATTAGTTTCAAAACTATACAAACTTTTTAAACAATATTTTATATAAAAATTTATTTATTTAAATATTTAGAGTTATATATGGGCTACTTAGTACGTAATAAATTAACTCGTATACTAAATTCAATTCATAAGAGAACTAATTAATATTTATAATACCTAGCAAGTATTAATTTAAAATTGACATATAGTATTGAGTGCAGTTATTACATTCCCTACTATTATATGATACCTGTACGAATACGTTCGACGTAACCTTTAATAATTAAAATGTTTTTATTATTGTGCTTTAATAATTTGACGGTACCTTGAAAGTACTTAAGGAAATGCCGCATTAGCAAGATATTCGAATATATTTGGAGTTAGTCATATGTTTTGAATATGTATTTAGAAATATTAATAGATGATTAGGAAAACATTAATTTAAATATTTTTAACAAATATCAGAAACAAAGGTATTCAGGTAGTTCGGAAACCTGTTCGGTTTTTAAGTCTCTGCAATAATTGAAAATAAATTACATTTAAATCGCTACAATACTTATGGTCATTTTCAGAAACGAAAATAAACTTACAGAAAATCAGTGACTCAAAATGATTTGGATTATTTCAAATTTAAAATAAGGCTACCGGTTTCAATCCAAGCACTGAAGTGCGATCATCAAACCTAAAAGGAAGTATAATGGTATATCTGTACCTAAGTACTATGAGGAAATAGTTAAAACCTTAACAAAAGGGAAAGTAGTCAAAACTTGAAATTAAAATATTTTAATTAAAACGTAAATAACTTCTGTAGCTGCCTTCAGAAACAGGTACCGCAAAGTCGGTTGACTTTGACACACTGTCAAAATTTAAACCTATTTTCAATTGTTAAATAAAAGCAAATCCAAATTCGCATTTTCGCCATAATTTAGTCTTCAGTTATATTTTAAGAATTATTAAGCAAAAATATTTCAAATGATCTAATTTTTCAAATAAAAAATAAAAAAAGGGGGTGTGCAAAGCCACCCGCAGGTAGAGGGTGACTTTGACTCACCTATTATTTTACATTAGCTTTGTTCGGCTTACCAATTTTATAACGTTTCAGAACGATTCAGAACTGCGTGAAATTAGTTGCGCACTAAATTACACAGGAAACAGTCAATCCTAGAGTGTCCTAGGACTAGATTTGGAGAAACCCGAACATGTAAATTTAAATGCCCATGATTATAACGATTTTAAACCGTCCTCAAAAGTAAGCCGAACAAAGTTATTGTTTTCTCTATAATATTACTTGCTGGTTTAAAGCCACCCATCACAGTTGATAGTAAAACACATTTTATTATTAAAAAAATATTTTTTATTGCTTATGGTAAAGATAACAAAAAATATTAAAAACGACAGTGTTGGTTGCATATAAATTTTATTACCTTTCAATTTCGATTATTTTGCAATGAGTTAAATTTTTTATAATACAAAAAGCGTAAGCGTCCAATTGTCTTTAAATAAAGTGTTTTGGGTAATTTTAATACCTTACAGTTCAACCAGCGTGAGTTTTATTTTAAAAATCTGATGTGTCCAACACATGACTTTCCTATCAAGTTATTATAGGCATTTTCCGGTTATTTTGTACAACCTATTGCAGCATCTCTATAAATGTTTAGAGGATAAACTAAATATATACATTTTCCACATACATCTACCTCGAAACATTTTTCTATAGATATTCATTGAAAACGAAAATACAGAAAAATTTAAATTTAGCACTTTTCCATTACGGTCCATTTTAGAAAAATCATATATAAACAAAAATTATAGAAATCGATATCGCAAACAACTTTTAGTTCAACAATTTTCATAAAAATCAGAATTTTGCACATTTTGTCAAATTTCTCGAATACGGACCATTTCAGGAAATTTTAACATAGAACAAAAATTATAGATAATAATATTAGAAGTAACTTTTATTTGAACAATTTTCTTCTCCAAACATAAATAACAGATATATTCCATAAAATATAAAAACGGCCTC